TTCTTTTTATTAAGGACTACGGTAGGAATAACTTCAACCTAACCTCTTACTTCTTTCTGTAGTGTATTAGCCCATACATGTACAATGATGATCTTGGTTTGTCACAAGTAAGTGTCAAAGATAAAAGATCCTATAGCACTGCCTAGTGGCGCAAGATGGGGAACTCTGCCAAAAAAGGTGTATAATCACCATGGGTGCCATTCAAGTAAGCAATATGCCTGCGCAGTGCATGTTAATGCATAGGTGAAGGTGCACAAGGTGTGTGTGCTGGTACGGTGGCTGCGCCTGTGCATTAACGTGCCCTGCACAGGCATATTGCTTGTTTGAATGGCGCCCATGGTGATTACAATGTATCTCGCATATTCACGGTGAAGTTCTCCATCTTGCGTTGCTACACGGCGCTGTACGATCTTTGGTCAAGATACATGTACATGCATTTCCGTAGGTACATGCATGTAGATATACTGTCCCAATTCTTGGTACAGTACTGTAGCAGTTAGTTGTCTTTAGTTTTGTTTCCATTGATGAATACACTCTACATGTACATATATAAGGCTGCATTGTTGGATATACGTGTATTAATGATACATTGTACTGAGATTTGAATGAAAAAACAAAGTACACTGTACCTGCTCACAAATAAAGTACAATACATGTATATGTTTTGGTTAAGTTTTATTTTTAAGGCTGTATGTTGTTGCACTGTTGACATTGTATACTAACAAAAGTATCTTTCATTGTTTAAATTTGATACATGTTACACCTCCAGATATTTGTATTAATAAAACCTGCGTAAGTCTTATCTCAAAACACCTTACATATTTTTATTTTGTGGCATAGCTGTGTTGTCCCCTGTAATCTGACATCAACTCGCTACTTCTTCATATATGTACCGTGTGTTAAGTTGACTCTGTCAACTTCCAGTCTGCAAGGACAATCTCATCCTGGCAAATTGCTTAGACTCTTTTAAAATCTGAGCTGCTTAGATGTTAAGAGTTAGTTAAACTATCCCCATGTCCCGAGATACAATTCAATAGAATGTATTCATGTGCCAATCATCTTGAATTGAAAGTGGGGTTGATTTGTCACTTTTGGAACTTTAGAGTAAAAATAACGGCAACAATGTAAGTTCATTGGAACTTAATGCCAGTTTTACATTTTGAGCTATTTAAAATGTGTGACGAATCGTATCCAAATGTTTTAAGCCTTATTGAAAAAACACCAAGTGAGGTTTGGACCCCAAAACTGTTTGGCACTTCCTCATTTACCAGATTACATCTGATATGATAGATTTATGGGGAGCATGATAAAAATGGCTGGCTTCACTGTGAATACAGTCTATTAGTAATCTTCATGTACATGTACATACCCGTATGTAACTTGAACTGGTGCTAGTGTTTTCAATGCATAAGAAGTACATGTAATACATGTACATTAACATTTGCTTAGTTCTAGATCACAGGTTTCCCCCAGTATAGTCCTATAGCTATAAGAACCATACTGGTACATGGGTTGTGCATTTATAACTATTTTTCTAACTAAAAAAATCGTCCTCCGAATGAGGTTCTATAATATCATGCACATGCACAAAAACACAATTACATGTATGTATATGTAAGCACCTGTAATCATGAATATTTAGCACTTCATCATTTGAAGTTTTGGCTCAATTTTACATGTCTCTTATGACACTTGTGAAGTACAGAATTGCTGCCTTCAAGCAATGATAGATGTGAATGATGGTTCTTCGAAAGCTGAGAAATTATATGTATGTGAAGGATACAAAATATGGGATTTCCACTTTACCTTCATGTATAGCTTCCAAATGATACCAGTGCCCCTCCTCCCCCCACACTTTTTCGACTAGGGGGCCTGGTCCCCCACTTTTTGCAGATTTTGTAATTAGATGGGGCATAATGGATCAACCTATTAATGGCTGATGCCTGATAGTCTAACAACTGCCCCCCCCCTTTGAAAATGGTTCCGCCGCTGTTGACCAGTACATGTACTGGTAAATGCCCTCCAATAATGTTTACATCACAATTTCGTTTAAAGGAGGAGAAAAGGAACTTGATCAGTGGGGTAAGATGCAAACAACCTGAATGCAAGGAGTTTTTGTAGGAAAACAATGTTAAAGAGCTTGCATGAAAAAAATCTAAGGCCTGATGGTACATGTGCATGTATGCATGTACAGCATAACAAGGTCAGAAGTGTACATGTACCCATATTAAAGGAAGAAGCCATCCTTTTATTATCAAAGATAAATGTCAGACAAGAAGGTACAGTACATGTACCTGTATGAAACAAGTACATGTACACGTAGTTTGGGAGAGCCTTACAAAAAGGTTAGACTGCATATTTAACTATCACACATATGACTTTGCCATTCAGGAGATAACATGGTATGTGTTGTTTGTCTTGCAGCACCTGTATGTACAACCCTGTGACATCAGAGTTTGCCAGAAGAAAATGGTTGCATTGTCAGAAACACATGAGTTAGGTCCAGAATTTGAATTATAGTATGCAGTTCTGTTTGCCACATGTACATGGACTTCCACCTGCAGGACTTCATAGATGTTTCACCATTCTACTATCATGGCTGCCAGTCATGGATACAAAGTCATATGCAAAGACATTCTTGTTCTGTGACCTAAGCGGCAAAAACAGGGAACTACACACTCTTTTACCTGGTCCAAAATTTCCCAGGACGTACAAGTCCAGAGCTAGGATGAAAATTGACTAGCTGCTGGATAATTGTCAGTATAAAAGGGAAAGTGGAAGCAGTGAAAGGTCGCAAGGCCCAGCCCCATTCTTTGAAGCTGTGAAGCAGTGTCCTTGTGTTCTTTTTCTTTTTCTTCAACCACGGAGTTTCAACTAAAATGGGATTGTAAATACATGTAAGGTATGAATGCGTATGCTGTATACAGAGAGAGCTGTTCTGCTGCATGACTTGGAAGATTGCCTCATGCTCAAATTTGTGTTTGTATGGTTTATGATGTTTGGCAAATGTTTACATGTAGTCAGTGGTAGTTCTGTTTGATTGAACGGAATTTCATGGTTGCGTACACCTGATATGACTGAGCAGCTGGATTGTACTTGTGCATTGTATTGTAGACTCACGTTTTGTAGCTGAGTTGTAAAATATGTGGAATCGTTTTTGCAAAGGAACAATCTCACCTTAACATAAAGAAACTGCGTGGGCTGTGTGCATTTGGTGCAGGAAAAGCTGTTAACATGCATGAGTTGTTATAATATCAATCACATGTGTCAAGAAATTTTCCCTTCAGTCTGTCATTTCTTTTCAGTGATCAGAAGGGGTGCCTCTAGAGGATCTATGCATGGCATCCATTTTCAGGGTCAGTGGTTTTGTTATGGAGGTTTGTGCACAAGAGGTGTATTCATGTAATGTATATGGAACAGAAGCATTGACCAGGAAGATGTTGCCATATACAACCTCTGGACACAGGGATACAATTGGTCTAATCTATTGCTCCTTTTTTCACAACGGAAAGACACTGTTAAACACGCTTTTGCACCAGTTTAGGGGTAATACTTGCCATGAGTCAACCACTTAGATGAAGCCAAGTGTTGATTCAGATTTTGTAAATTGATATAACTTACATGTACATGCAAATACAATTATAATTCTGTTTTGTTTCTGAATACCCCCCAAAAATTTCACGTACAATTTACAAAAATATACTGAAGTTAAGGGCACAATAGTCACTGTGTGGGTAACTTTTGTAGAATAAACTACCCCATTCTGTTTCTTTCGTTAGACAATGCCAACACCCATAGTTGTAACATAATTATAATTCTACTGCTAGTACCCTTTTGTAACCTATATTTTACATGTACCTTCTGAATTATTCACTTACATTAACTTTTGTTCTTGACTGGTTGAAGGTTCGAGCTATAGTTGCCCCACCTTGGCATTTCCCTTATCAAATTACATACATTGCCCTTTCAACATATAATAGAGTGCACAATGCATTCATCAAACGATGAGACAATTTTTGCCTGTTATACTGCTGTACGACAGGCAAAGAGAATTCACAGCACCCAAGCATGATATCTAACAAATCTCAGCTCAGTTGTAATTTACATGTAAGTCACTCAAGTCATAAACAAAGACCTGTGACCAACATAATTTGGTTGTCATGTGCATGTAGTAGGCATTTCCACACTGTTGGACCTTTCATTCTCGAAGTGTTGAAGCATCAAGCTGTCCAAATGTTATTTTGTTGTTAGTTTGAAGGCATGTGTGATTGTAATTTTTCAGGCTTTAACCCTCCTGCTGTAACCGTCAAAAACAGTCAAAAGTTCCTTCCACTTGATTTGCCCCAGTACACAGACACATGGGAAATTTGACTGATATGACAACTGTGTCAAGAATGTATCTTTGCACAGGAGGGTTAAAGAGTTAACACACCAGATTGGTACTTTGATTATGACTATAGATTATAGTAGACAAGTTTGCTAACAAACAGAATACATAACCCCCCCCAAAAAAAAGGGCTTTTTTGACATGAAATGTAAGAACTATTTTATCTCCCTTTTTCCTGAAGGGAAAAAGCCCCAAAGTTTTCTGTAACCTTAAAAAAAAAGGCTATGAAAAGTTGCTTGAAGACATTTCCAAATTTTTTGGTGCTTACCTAAAAGTAATTTTTGATCTGCCCCATGCTAACAAATACAGGTACACATGTACTGATATTTTATCAGTAGAAAGGAAGAGTTCATGTAGGTGTTACATCTTTAGATCATTACTTTTCAGTAACAGCACAACTGATTGTGCATTCAACGTTTTGGCCTTTTGTATTGTCTTCAGTTTATGGAAAATAAGTCTCAGAGAAACTGACCACATAAAATTGCAGGGTGAAGTTAAAGAGAAACCATCCCATCTTTACTAGCACTTTTTACAGCTCCTACCGCAACCACCCCAAGTCAAATGTTCTCTATTCATGCACATTGTATGTTTCTTTCTTTCTGTTTCTTTGTAGGACGGGATAGTCAAGATATGGGATGTGTGTGTTCAGAGCAAGAGTCTTCCTGTATTCCAGCTGGCCTACCTGAAGATGATCAAGATTATTACATCAAGTCTAATGGCAAAACACCAGTCAGTAATTATACCAGTGACTCCATTGAAGCCCCAGTTATCTCAGTAAATGTTGTGGTGAGTTTCCTATGCTACAGTATGTGAAGGATAGGGATATTTGCTTTTCAGTTTTCTCTTGGTTTTTTTTTCTCTCATTCTTCACCTCTTTTACCATTCTGTGTTAAAGTACAATCAGCATGTTCGGATTGCTTGGCATTCTAAAAGTTGAATGTGAATAGAAGTAACACCAAGTCCTTTTGCATTCTATACTTAATGGTGTACTTGGTGTGGCAAGAATACCAGCCTTCATGTTTGCAGATTCAGAAGCCTGCATGTATAGGCAAGGGGTGTTTTAGGTCACCGAAGGTCAATAAACATGTACATGCATTTTATCATGCTTGCTTTGATTGAATTGTGATGAATAATTACACTGCAGTATGTAAGCCTCTGACACAGCACTGCCTATATTCTCCTTTACAGTGGCACCTTTACGAATTTTTTTATTATTTTAAAGCTTGTGCTAAAATCAGAAAATTTTAATACTAAAAGCGAAAATCTATATAAGTGACTTTAAATAAGTACCTCTGTCACCTCAGTATTTTGGACAGAAGTGTTGCAACAAGCATCAGACATGTCAGAAGGTTTACGATGCCATATTTATTACAGGATAGTAACCTGAAATGCCACCATCGCCTATCAGTCTATAGATACATGTACATGTACCAGTGTTGGAGGTCTCGAGACCTGGTCTTGGTCTTGAGACCTTTTTCGAGGTCTCGGCCTACAAGAATCTCGGTCTCGGGAGGGTTGGTCTCGGTCTCGGGAGGGTTGGTCTCGGTCTCGGGAGGGTTGGTCTCGGGAGGGTTGGTCTCGGTCTCGGGAGGGTTGGTCTCGGTCTCGGNNNNGTCTCGGTCTCGGGAGGGTTGGTCTCGGTCTCAGGAGGGTTGGTCTCGGTCTCGGGAGGGTTGGTCTCGGTCTCAGGAGGGTTGGTCTCGGTCTCAGGAGGGTTGGTCTCGGTCTCGGGAGGGCTGGTCTCGGTCTTGGTCTCGGATGAGACCAAGACCGAGACCAGCCCTCCCATGACCATGACAGAAATGCAGAAAATGTGCGTCAACAATTAACGCTCGGCTGCAGCAAAATCACATACCCGGATCGTACGGTATATACAGCACACACATGTATATAGCAGTGCTGCTTGCACCACAAGTTTACCTCCGAATGAGTCTAGTTCCGAACTGCTCGCAATTCCGCATGTATGCTTGGAACATGTACGACATGGTATTTACGATAAAGCTGGAATGGAGACTAATGCATATTCTCAGCCCGGAGCACTGGTACCCTGCGTGCAGTACCTCTTTCATTTCACTGGTACACAAACAAAGTGTCAGGGAGGTAGAATGTTTACACATCAGTGAGGAAACTTGGATAGGTAAAATCATGATTTTTATATGCATGTACATGTACTTTTAAAAGGGAACTGCCTGTGTGACCCTTCTAACCTGTCCATTGATCATTACAGAGTATGAACTCATGCACACCTTTTGGCATAGTCCGAGCAACTCAGACCCCAAGTTTTGCCTTTTTAAACATTTGGACATGGCCCGCCCACGTTAATTTTGCTATACATATGGAACACAAAAACTCTGTACATGTACATGTTTAATATACAATTATGCCGTATACTCTACACAAAATTCTATAGCATCAGCAGTCCATGCCTTCATGGTCAAATAAAACTCTGTCATGGAATATTGAATATGTTGTGTGCTTTACATGTAAAATTTGCACTTAATTTTGCTGTTTAATGCCAATTGTCCACCACGTTTACCATCAATGAACTACATGTAGGCCTATATATTGTATACATGTATGTTGTGCAAGGTCTCGGTCTCGGTCATCTTGGTCTCGGTCTTGGTCTCGAACTGCAAAAGTCTCGGTCTCGAAGTTCTGGTCTCGGTCTTGAAAGAGCTGGTCTCGGTCTCGAAAGCTTTGGTCTCGGTCTCGGACATAAAGGTCTTGACTACAACACTGACATGTACCGTATATTGTGACCAAATAGATCTTTGCAGGTTCATCCAAGAACACACTGAAGAGTAAAAAGGTGAACTTTACGGCACACATCATGCATCAAATGCTGTTTGGGCAGAGCCAAATGTTCTTATTAAGTGCAAAGAGTGTGCCAGAGTGTGGTATTTCTGATTGTGAAGAAGAAGAAGATTCAAGAGAAATATGTATGCATGTAGTTTGATGACATTTTTCTGTTAAAGTTTTCTGCAACACTTCATGGTTGAGTAGTTCGTATGAGAGTACTTATCCATGTAGTGGAAAATCAATGTAGTTGGAAGTGTCTGGTTAATTTGCATTGAAATGAATTATTTGTGGTAGGATGACAGTAAAGGAAAAGAAGACTCTGAAGAGGAGGACATTGACCAGCATTTCATGGTGCATGGTAGGCTGACTCCAGATAACAGAAATCAATTTGGGGTGAGTCAAAACATGGACATTTGCTATGGGGAACATAAATTAGAGTATGTTTACTGCCTGAAGGCATGTTCATACTTCAAGTGAAGATGGAAACAAAGCAAATACCATATCACAAAACAATTTCAATGAAAGTGGCTAGAGTTAAAATGTGTTTATGTACTTTTTGTAGCTGGAATATTTGTTCTGACATCACAAATTTGACCTTTAGGGAAGAGTGGTAATGACATTATCTCAGATGGAAGAGAGTTACAACATTTTTTGCTCAATTCTTTCACGTCCGATCACACCCATAATTATGTAGAAGCCCATGTTGTTTTGGTATTAATAAAGCATTTTAATAGTAATGATGCTAATATGATGTGTCAAATTTAATGTACATGTACCTCTAATTCTATTTCTTGGAAATGTTAGCATGTCATCACAGTTGAGCTTTGTAACTGAAAAGTGATATCAGTAATTCAAAGTCTAAGCTTGGCTTGTAGTAGATCTACATGTATGAATAACTTGTGTGTCTGTGTGTGTGTACATGAAACACTTTCTTCATGTACACAATGTATCTATACATGTACATGTACACTGTATGTCTGACTAACAGCTATGAGTAAGTTTGCATCAGTGTATAGCTGTAAGTGCAAAGGTGTTTTTTTGGGGGGGAGTGTATGTTCCTTTTTTCTATCCAGTTGTCTTATGTAATCAAGTTGATTTGCATTTCACCAGTAACATTAGTTTAATGACTCTAGTAACAGTTTTTATATCTTATATCAAGTACATCTTGTGAAATATTTATTGTGACTATTGTTTGCTCTTCCAAGTTTGATTTGCAAATTTGAAGATTTCTCCTCCTTCAAAGGCCCCTTTCCCCTTAATGCTGTAATATAAATGCATGTTTCATAGTAATTATCCATGATTTTCCTTCTTAGTTTCATGCATACAGTCATGGGCCTTTTCAACCAAAATAAGTGGAGCATTTGGCTGTGGGGTTACCTCAAGGTTTATAGTAGAAAATTATGCATGTATTAATTGCAGCTTATTTGGCTTGAACATTCCCATAACTACGTGTACATGTATCATAATAGTTACTTGGAATGTGTGTATATTCATTTGTAGTACTGACTGTGCTATCAATGATATGCTCCTTCCAATTTTTTTATGCCAACTTTTCCAACACTACCCCTTCAGAACTATAATGCCAGTACCTCCCAACCTGACACTGATAGTTCCCCTGACAAAGCCACCTTCCCTCAGTTGTCCAATGAGGATAGTTTGAATGAGGAAAGTCAGCCTGTGGGTGAGGAGAATGGACAGCGAGAAGCCACGAGTGCTAGCATTGCCTCTGGCTTGCATCTCTCTGTAGATGATACATCATCACCAGAGGTTCAACCCCCATCCACTGTACACACTTTCACCAAGACTGGAAGCATTGGGAATAACCGATCTCGTTCCTCAGTGTCCTCACTCCAGAGGCGGACACAAACAGGGAGCAACCTCAGCAAGGTAAAAATGACACATGAAACAGCAGTAGGGGGTGCAAGGAGGTGCTGCTCAGATCCTGCGGCTTCAGGAATGGTACAGCTAACTGTTTCATGTCATCAGCTTTGGGAGTGATATTCAACTTGCACCCTTGTGTTTCTCTTTCCCTTGTGGAAACCAGACTGTTTCTTCTGAGCACTGCTAACGATAAAGGAATACTAAGGTTTTACCATTCTTGACATTTTCCACTAACATTGATAATAGTGTTGCTTCCCTCCCATTGAATTTCTAACATTACACAAAGAGCTTGGTTGCCCCTCGGCCTCTCCTCTTAGCATGCAGAGCATTTTATAGCCTATGTGGCTCACAACATTTAATAAAATTCATGGAATCGGAGCTTGTGCATATTAATCTTAGGTGGTTTTTATGGTTGTTTTGGGGTTGGGTTGTTTGTTTTGTTTCTTAGTCCTTAACCACTTGTGGCTGGATGACATATAAACACACAATTTTTCTTATTTGTTCCGTCGTGCTTGGTTGGGTCAATGAAGATGCCACAAACTAAGTGGACCCCCTCATTCACAGTAATCTGGAAATGCCTTTCTTGAGTAATTAGAATTGAATTGGGAAGCCCACACCATACACAAAAGAGCTAAGGGGATTAAAGACTCCCTTTGTTTGGGCAAACAATTTGCTAGGGAGTGAAACCACACTTACAAAAGAGAAAAACAATGTTACGAAAATCCCAACTATTAACTTCGTATCAAAACAATTCGCAAAAAAACACACATGGCCACTGGTGATGCTTACATATGCTATGGACTGTCTGTATGTGAACCAGTTGACATCTGGACATGGCACCACAATTTTTACCAGCGCAGTTGAAAAACGGAAGAACTTTAGAGGTAAAGAATGGAAACACAGTGTACTGATACCAAACCTTACAAGTTGTGCCTCCCTGTCGGTACATATTTTATGGGCACCAGAAATAATTTGCAAAAAAAAACTGCCCCAAGCAGTTTTTTGGGGAAAGAAAACCCAACATTATTTGGCTATTTGCATGTGCCTCTGTTCTGACATTCGCATGTGTTCTTCACAACATTCCTCACTCATGGCTTTTCATTGGAAAGTTGCCAGGCTGGTAGTGGGGAATTCTTTCACCTGTTCATCAAATCCTTCCAAAAATCAATTCTGCGAGACTACCCATTGAATGTTTATTGCCAGTGGAATCTTAATTACTTGTATTATTGGGAATAGAATGTGAATATCTATCATGTGCATCATGTATTACATATTAAAAATTACTGCAATTCCATTTGAAGTATTTTTTCTGTTTTAGGATTTTCTTTTTCATATTGTCATAGATATTATTACTGTTCAAGACAGGCTGATCTCTGCATGCAATTTATTACATGCATGTTAATATTTGGTGTTTCTGTTTTTAACCGTTAAGGCAATTTCTTCTGGTGTTGTTTTGTTTTTCTTCACAGTTATAAAGATGTACAGAAATTGAACAGATTTGGAACAGTTCATATATAACAGGTTTTACCCTTACCCAACGTATATGCTCAGTGCTTGTCCGAGAGCTTGCAAAAAAAAGTCACAAGCTTACTCGGGTGGGACTCGAACCCACAACCTCCTGCTTACCAGTGCAGACGTCTTAACCACTCGACCACCGAGCTTGCCGGGGTCGGCCGGCCGGTCCGAGTCGGGTGAAGCAGCGGGTACCGCGAACTATTTTCAAGATGTATTTTTTTTTTACATGTGCAAATTTGACTTGATTACCTGAAGCCAATTATGTTCCCATTGGATTCCATGACCCTCTACCCGTCTTTGTTAAATCCTCCCATTTATTTACGTTTACATTTTATGTTATACCACTGGAACATTTAATATCCTTGGATGGTCAGACCAATTTGGCACATATCTATGGTCCATATGTTACCAGTACCGTACACGCCTTGTTCTTTATGAATTGAATTTCCCAATCCTAATCAACCTAGTTTTTTTAACCGTCTGAAAGCTTTTTAGAGGAGGTTCCATCCCTTTCATATTTCAGCTGTCCAATGGCAGATTTTGGGGAACTTGGCATACATGTAAAGAAATCAGTAAAGTACAAGTACATGTACATGTATATCTGAAGGATTTAATGTGATTATTGTTGGAGGCCAATAATTCCTTTACCATATACATGTATTTTTGTTTACCAATTTGGCATTCCTCTAGAAAGGTATTCCAGTTTTTATGAAATTCTACAGAAAACTTAGACGCTCCTATTGAGAAAAACTGGGTTAAATTAATATTTCAAAATATCGTCCCCAATGAGACATATTGGCCCAAAATCATGATTTTTTTTTCAAACTGTTTTTTTTTTCAAATTCAATTAGGCGATGTGATCCTACAATCTGGTAGAATTATTGTTTATCAAATCTACTGAAATCATCCAAATCACGATGATTACAGTGGGGCAAATTTCCTGTTTTACCTATACCATATTCACAGAGAGAGTCAAAGTTGACTCCAGAAATGTATACAAATGTAACAAGTTTGCACCTGCCAGGCGCTACGGCAAAAATGTGTACTGAGCGTGCCGTTTTTACAAAGAGACACAAGTCACACAAATTTAGCATTTTCACAAACAGAAAAGAGTGATTCTTTACAAAAAAAAAATTTAATTGACTTCTTAAAGCATTATTTTGTAGTTTTGTGTCATTCAACCACTTGTTGCTGCCGGGTGGTTTGAAAAATGCATTGCACATAATCAGGACATTTTCAAGATTTTCAGTTTTCAAAATATAAAAAAATTCATTTCAATGAAGGGATGTTTACACCCACTTAAATTACTGTCTGATGGCCACTCTGGTTTGACAGACAAAAATCTATTGATGCCCGAGTATTTCAGCCAGGCATGCAGCCTTGTAAAAAGAGCCCACATTGTGTGTTGTTACATAACTTTCTTTCGTTCACAAACCTGGCACAGTGCACTGCTGACCTCTTTTCAACGCGCTAGATTAACATCCAGCGGTGCTGTGTGGCTCATCCCTGTGGTAGTGGAGCGCTTTGTCCCCGGTGGTAATCCGCTCGCTCTAAATGCCCCAAACAGTGGTATACTGTTTCAAAACTAGACTGGATTATCTCCACTATTGAGAGTGAAAAAATGTCGGTAACGTCCAGCAGCCTGGTCTTTTGTTCTAAGTACAGTCTTTTGTTACAAGGCCCAGTTCCCTTTGTCCGATTTCGGAGACCCCAGCCACGCATATAGACACACAGTGCCCGAAACCGGGCTCCCCAGCAGGAAGTGTTAAAGATCCCTTCTTTCAGGAAGTAGCATTCTAAACAATGGAATGCTAAATACAAGTACTTTTGAAATAAGTGTTTAAAAAGGAGACCAACTTCTTTAGTGATTTTCTAGAAAACTACTTTTTACTCTTTGGCAAGACTTTTGTCTCATCATGAAAATCATGACCATACACGTATGGACAGCAGGATGAATTTTGTTTTTTGTTTTTTTTTTTTAATACTTTGATGTATTGTTTGCTTTGTGTGTTCTAGGTTTATTTTTGTTTAATTTGGTTAAATGCTCAGATCATGACTAACACAATTTTTGAAATGTTTTCATCTTCAGGGAAGCTCAGTGAGCATGACAAGTTTGTACAGCCAGGCAGGAGAGGCGAATTATGGGAAATATGTCATTACTGGAGACATCAATTTTGGGCTGAATTACAACTACAAAACAAGTGTCTTTGAGGTCAAGATCAAAGCTTGTCGTGACCTTGCACCAGTGGATGTGAAGAAAATTAAATCAGACCCGTAAGAATTCTGGTATCATCTTTAGTGACAGTTGTAAAGATGTATCATAGTGACATAGTTTGAGGTACATGTACACACTGCTGAATGGGGCTGTTCACTGTGCAGTATGCAGGCCCGTAGGCTGGGGGATTTCAGGGGGTTCGAACGAACCACCCCACTCGCTTCCGAGTTCCGCTTTTTTGTTTAATAACAAATATATATATTTAATATACCATAATTGTTGGAATACAAGCCATGGCTTACACTTTGATTCTCACACTGAAAATGCCCCTGTGGCTTATATTCCGGGAAGCTTATACGGCAACATTTGAAGAATAAAATCAGTCACTAAACGCCTCACTGAGCCTCAGCTCAGCACAGTCTGGCCCAGGCCACCTGGCCATGAATGCAACCAGCACAGCACTCCAGGCGCGGGGGGAAAAGTCAGTCATGTTTTCATTGGTTGCCATTTACATTGGCTCTACTAACATGTTGGAAATGAAGGAACCAGTCCAGAGAGAATGAAAAGACTTTAAGTGTACCGTAATACCGTTCACACCTCAAATATTGTGTGGCATGTCTGTTTGTTTTTGTCTTTTGTGGTTGTGTTATCCATGTTGTTTGTTATCTCACTGGTCAGTTGGTGAAATGTTAAAAAGAAAGAACTGCTGCATGGCCCACCCAGCGAGGACACTAATCCAGCCCACTAAAGTTGGTAATTTCGAGGACTTGAGAAAGTTTTGGTTTAATGACAACACTCCTTCGCGTGCTGCTTCACATTACAACCAAAGATTCTGTACCCAAAAGTGGCACGGACCGTAACGTTTAACGGTTCAAAATTTTGCGTCTAATGGCTGTGTGTGGAGCAATATTTTACCTCCAATCTCATGAAAGATGAAATTTTAAAAAAACTTCAAATATTCTGATTCATAAATGTCAATATCATATATCCGTTACAAAATTCTCATGAAATTTTATTTTGGCCCGATTTTCCCTTTTTTTTTCCAAAATGCCAAATGAACTCTTTTAAATGTGCCCAAAAATATATACATTTTTAAAACAATTTTTGCTTTGGTAAGTGAGTGGAGGTAATAATTATTTAAAAGAATTTATCAATTGATAGAACATTTTAAAAAAAAATTCATACTATTTGCTTGTCACCCAGTGCCTGATTCAAGGTGCTGGGTGACACGTAGCTTCATACCTGCCAGGTCAATTTACAACATGCTGTGGGTATTAAAAGCTGGAGTATATAAGTCTTACATGCATCCTTTGCTTCACGACAAACATGCAACTTTTCAAAAGTACATTATGATAGGCCTTCGTATACAAATATGTATTCACAGTGCCAAAGGTTCCACTTCTGGGTTGGACAACCCCCCCCCAGTATCTGGTCAGGCAACGGGCCTGGTATATATGTACATAAATACTCAAGTTGAATCTTACATTTGTGAGAAAAACAAAAAGACAAATCCTTTCATTTTAGATTAAAATTTGTATTGTTAATTTAATAAGGGAATAGATATCCTGGTCTTAAACATGCATTTCAGACTGGCTTAGAAGAGTGGACGCAACCAATGCCCGAGCCGCAGGCGAGGGCATTATCAGCATTCGTTCCAAGCACATATTTATTCCCATTCATGAAATACCTTTTTATTTAGAGTCAAAAGAAGTCAACGTGTGATGGATTTCCAACAATTTTAATTCTACTTTCATTTTCCCAAACACCCCCGTCCAGTTTATGGTATATTCCTTTTGAAAGTTGTCCAATAGAATCCCCTTCAGTGAACTTGGCCTGTGCATGGCGCATCATGTGCTCACAAAACTTCTGACCAATCAGACCCAGTTACACTGTCTCATATCCATGTGCCAGTGTATGATTTATGCAACAGGCATTATCACTTCTCAGCAGGCATTATCAAATGTTAATACATATACATGGTCACGTGCCGCCTTTCAAACAAGGAACACAGTTGAAAAACTGTCCCAGGTATTTATGAACAAAGATTAAAGCTAAAATACCAGTAGTGAAAAATGTGAATGGAAATGTTGTGTGTCTATTTTACCAGATATGTGAAGACGTACCTCCTCCCTGACAAAACCAAAGCCAGCAAACGGAAGACGTTTGTCCGTAAGGGAACAGTCAACCCCCAGTTTGAGATGACTTTAAGATATCACATCTCTCAAAGTGAACTGGAGACAAGGACACTGAGTGTGACTGTGTGGAATAATGATGCTTTTGGAAGGAATGACTTTCTTGGAGAGGTTCTTGTTAACATGGATTCAGTCAATTTGGATGACTACAAGCCACGATGGCATCAACTTTGTAATAAGGTACTGATTTCTCATTCATTTTACATGTTGAGTATGGAAATCATTCAAGGAGACTGTCCAGTTATCTTTATAGTGTGCAGCTGTTGCAAATGTTGCATCTATCAAATTTGTGAAAGCATTTGGTAGCAGTTGCTCCTACAAGTCATAGTAATGTTATGATGCCAGCCAATTGAAGGTTACCTAGAATGGTAACTGAATCATTTATAGGTACTTTGGAAACAGACTTTTATTCAATGAGGCTTGGCATGTGCTTCTAGACTTCATTGATTCTATCAGTTGCTCTAAATCATGACATTCCATCATCCTAAAGTGCCAACAGGCTCAGTATTTCAGAGGTTGTCATGAGAGAAAGCTAGATTAAATCACTGGCCACCTGCAGGCTAGGACAGGTTATTGCAGGATGTGGAGGATGTGTTTTGCTGACAGTAATAGACTGATTGCACCCAGTCACGTGACGTGTGGTGGGTATCGCACATCAGTAAACATAGTGCCCTCCTATAGCAAAGTGTGACATCATATACCAATATAAAGCTGATGGTCAGTAAAGTACTCGGACTACTGATGTGCGGAGCACTGTACCCAAAATTGGCTTGTATGACACTTTGCTATGGAAGGATACCATGTTTGTTGATGTTTGATTCCCACTAAACATGCTAAAGGTCGTGTGACTTAGCTGGTGTAATTGGTGTATAGGGTACAGCTCAGTGGTGTCCAATTTGCATGCTAAAGTTATTATTTATCTCTTTACACTTGTCAGTCCCAGCCAGCAGAGGGTGCTGTCGCATATAAGGGTGACCTGACCATATCGCTGATGTACTCAGATACACTCACACAGGAGGCAGAGGAGAAAAACTCCAAGAAGAAGAAGAAAAAAGATAAAAGCAAGAAGTTGGGGAAGACTCATCCATCAGCTGATGAGGGAAAAGGAGTGTTGTATGTCAAAGTCATTGAAGCCAGGAACTTGGTTGGTGTGCGCATGGGTGGTTCTTCCAATCCATTTGTAAAAGGGTGAGGCTTGTGCTGATGATCGTGTTGTTTTGTTATCACAGTTTGCCAAAATGCAAGCAGTTGGGTATTTCTGGAAAGGTTACTGCTTTGGATATTTGTGTATATGGTAGTCATAAGGTTCCCAGATAGTAGACCATGAATGAGGTCAAACCTATGTCACACAGGGAATAGATACAAGGCTGTTACATTCTGTTAAGTCCATCTAATCAATTTAGCATATGTGGGAGACTTGTGAACGAGTTGACCTGGATATCCAACCTTTTCTGGGATTGTAGTGTTATGTTAGATATTGGTTGCCTACTGTTTATAGAGAGAGAGTTGCAACATGAGTGTCTCAATTAGTGGGACCAAAATGGTGGATTGTGTGTCATTGCACATGGACAGTTAGCACCCAATAGCTGCATGCTGTACTGCACACATTATGAAAATATGGTTACAAAGGCCGAAGTTAGCACTATACTCTGGAGCTCTGAACCACATCATTCTTAACAAGAACACCTCTGAACCTGTAACAGTGAAACACAACTGAACTATGACATTGATTGTGAATCACTACAATAATGACATCATAGTCTTGAATCTTACAATAGCGTAGTAAGGGTTATCAAATTTCTTAATACTTGACCTATGAAATATAATAATATAGCCAGAAAATAACATGTATCCTCTGTTAATTGAATTAAATTCAAGTCATGTTACACATTTAGCCACTTTGAATATCCCAGAGGATAACCTGTTTCAAATCTGTACTGCACCCCCCCATGAAAAAAATAAAGCATTTTTGTATTCAGCAAGCAAAATTTATGTTGCTCTGTTATATGCCCACTTTCATTGGACCACTGTGAAAGACTTTTTGGCCCCTCACAGATAGCTAAGCAGTTTTATGTTAGAATGAAAAATCTGGCATCATTGTCATGGTAATTTTTTTTTTTCTGATTTAGATGTGTTTTAAATACAGTTTCATAAGGGTTATTGATAAGGAAGATGTGGTTGCTAGGCAACAAAGTCCTAAACTATTGTCATTTGATCCTAGAGGTTGGATATTTGCATCAGATTACCCAGAAGTCTCTGCCATTTGAAAGCTAATTAAATGAATTTGTCAGAAAGGAAATGATGCCACTTACCTGTTAATGCTGTTCCACCTGGTATCATGGTCAACCTCCAGGGAATCTCAACTAGCCAATCTGAATACCCTTTCTGTAATCCTTTCAGAAATACACCCAGACATCTTCAGTGAATATTTTACCCAAGCTCAAAGTGGCAGATTTGTTACTCCGGAACAATGATTAGATTTAAATTTTTATTTGACATGTGTTGACAACATTGGTTGCGTCCAGCTAGAAATGTCACAAGCCTAACTGTAAGCTTCCTTCTTATAGCTAGCTGCAGTGTACTTCCCACAAGTTCATGTGTTGTTTTCAGCTGTTGTCAGGTAATAAAAAAGTAATGAATGTCTCACATGCATGAAATGCTAAGAATAATTTCATGATGTGGCAGCATTGTTCTATGACGCTCGGCTTTGCCTCGTGGAGTGGAGCGTTTCATTTTTCACTTCATGAAATTCTTACCACTGCATGAACATGAAACATTCATTTTTTTATACAAGTACCTGCATCAGTTCTCTTCTGTTAGGAGAACAGTCCTCAGGTACTTAATAATGTCCACCACTTTGCAAAACAGATTTGTGACTTGGCACAACAAAATGAGTGTAAGGTCATATTCTGCTCTTTCCTGTTTTGAGGGTTCAAAGTCATAAATTGAAGTAAAGGTCAATTTTGGCATTTTGATTTATTTTGAGAGTAACTTCTCTATTTAATTCCAATTTTGTTAGCAGGACCAAATATTTAAAATGTTATTTTATCAGCAATTTCAATGATAGCATTATTTTCGCCTGGTCAGAAATGTTGAAACAGTGTCAGAAATAAAGACGCAAAGATGCTAGAGTAATGTCACACCTCATACTTTTACCGTAAGTGTTCCATGTACATTACATACAACTGAAAAGCTCGCTTTCTGCTGATTTAGAAAGCACCAATATCCCATTTTTTGAAAATTCCAACTTTCAGCTCATTTTGTGGTGACAGGTTATATTTATGTCTAAAGTGCCACCTACTGGTAGTTTCACTATGATGTAATATTAGACTGGTTTCCGTCCCTACATTATTTTCCTCTTTCTTACTGTGAATGAAATAAATGAAATTGGAGTGGGAAGCAGTCACGCAAAAAGAAGTTCTGTCCGACGGTTACTGTTGAATAGAACAAATAATTCAGTGACGTGATCAAAGATCCGCAAATCAGATGAGAGGGATTTATGCAGGTATTGTATAATATTAACTTATTTACATATGATATTCCACCTTTTTACAAAAACTTCATCCATTATCACTGTTACTCCCATTTTTGATGTACAGGTCATGTTCATTTTTGTGAGAACGGGACGTCAACTTTCTTAGTGTTGATTTTCAAACTACACTGTAGCAAGACGTACATGTACATGTAGATTGCTCCAGACTATGGGATGTGTGTATAAATACACCTTTAGTGCTAAATGTAAAAGTAGTGTGATTATTCTACTGTAGACATGGTAGATGGACGCTTCTTTTTGTCTCAAAAAAATGTGATGTCTTAATGTCTTCATGAATACAGCTATCTGGAGCCAGACAGATCCAAAACTGGAAAGCATAAAACAGCTGTTCTTCGCGGAACTTGCAACCCTCGTTGGGACCATGTTATGGCATTTGAGAATGTGTCCCTGAAGTCTCTGAAAGAGCGATGCCTGGAGTTGACTGTTTGGGACCATGAAACACTCTCCTCTAATGAATTCCTCGGTGGAACTAGGTTAAACTTGGGCACAGGTAAGTTTGTATTTTTCTGGATCAGTTTATCTGTGGGGTAGGCTATAAAATATCCTATAAGTGAGAAATGTCAATAATTGTCTTGTAATAAAAAAAAATATTATAATTTTACTGGATTCTGATAAGGATGGGATCACCCTATTAAAGCACTTGTGTTCCCTGAGTGAACACCCCATTGGGGCACGATGTAATTAATTAATGTGTGTCACCTCGTTTGCAGCTGCTAGCCAAACTCAACAAATTCTCACCAATTCTGTTCCCAAAATTGAGTTACTGCAACAGGTGCAAATCAAGAGTGAAATGTTCATACATGTATGTGCGAAAAATCCTCTAATGACAGTTAAGTTTATGTCATTATAAGTAGACCTATTTGTAACATTTTCCTCATAAATTTTTTCAAAGAAAGGTTTCCAATTGCATCTACAGTATAGGCAGGATGAAAAGGAGACTTCACAGTACAGAAAGGTCAAATTCTGAAAAAATGAAATTTGCATAATCCTTCTTTGTTTGAGTTACTTTCCACTTACTGTGAACTATTTTTGGAGCTATTGAGCAATGTACATCTGCAAATATTGCTTGAAGGTCGTGTACATCATTGGTTTTTTGTTGTAATTTCACAAGATTGGCTGATTAGGATGTATAATATTCCGTGCACCTGAAATTCCATTGACTTGTTTCATGTTCAAGTCAACTGGTTTGAAAAATGTAAAAAAAAACAGTGTGGTATTTTCAAAGATTAACTCAAAGTCAGATTTTGTCATTTGTTTTGCACAAAACCTATGAATTACAGGGCGTTCGTGGTAAGCGAACAACATCCACGGGGTCAGGGTGGGAATCAGGCATGGCAGGTTCTGTTTCCCTTAAAAAGGAGCAGTCTTCAACAGCCAGGAGTAATCAGAATTTTTCTATGATTTCAGTTAACAATGCATTTGGTGAATTTCTGTCGCTATATTTTCAGCTACTTTTAAGTTTACCCAATTATTAATGGAGACTTCCACAACATCTGCAAACACTACACACAAGAAAATTGGTGCTGCTAAAGATTGTGATGTGCGGAGTGAAATGAAGTCTCATACGATGATCAGCCGACCATTGTGAAAATACAGAACAAAATTTCTGTTTTTTGAATACTACAGCATGCTGGGCGGCAATATTTTACGGACTAATTGAGGCTGTTCCGTACTTTCTTTCAAGTAAGATATACAGGATTATACAGTGGTCCAATTTGGGGAATTTTACTAAGGATGACATGTAAACACATAATTTTCCTCATATGTTCCACTGAGGTCAAAAACACTCGCTTAACAATTCTGTTTTCATTTCCATGGTTGACGTATATATGCATCACGCTTGGTTGGGTCAAAAGCACAATTGCAAGGTTAAAGAATTTATCCGTAAAAAAACCTGCCCCCAGCAGCTTTTCCGGGTAAGAATATCTGACATTAACTGGTTAACAAAAGGAGGTTACCGACCAACATGTAATGTGATTTGTACTGGTGTGGGCTGGTTGTGAGCTGATTTGAACTTGATACATTAATAAGAGTCGGTCCTGATATAGTTGACTGCTTGGCTGAGTGGATGAATTGGCTGAGAACCAGTCATGAACAATGGACACACCTTGACATTTGGCTTTTGTCTTGTTGTAGGTGAGTACCAGAGGAAACTAGCCGGCTGGAATGATGCCACAGGAGAAGAGATGAAAGCATGGGAGCAGATGTTGAAGACTCGTGGACAGTGGATCAGTGCTACCATCATACTCAGACCTAGTATGATCAGTAGGTTACAATTCACTTAGCACTACCTGCCGGAAGTCTCTACCTGCAGCAGACTACACATTTGTATGACTTGAAAATAATGTTTCTTTCAATGCAAATTAATACATCTTTGTATAGTATTCTCATAACTAGAAATAGGAAATAGGACTCTCTTCTGATCACTCGCAGGCCCGAGGAGGCATGGGTGTGCACTAGTGACCAAGTTTGACCAGTCCATATGTTTTATAATACACTTCAAACTAGAAAAATATTCTTTCAGGGGCTTAGCTGTTTTAATTCAACTTTCAATGGCACTTCAAAAATTGCATACAAATTGAAGGTTCAGTTTAGTGTCCCTTGACGCTGTCTGATTTTGAGTTGCTGTACTTGCAACACGGAAAAGAATTCTTCCAGGGATTTAACTGTTTAAATTCAACTTTTCACTTTACAACCTCTAGAGGGCACCATAACCAGTCAAAAATTTTCAAGACTAGGCACAAGTCTCTGGAATGGATGTGCTCACAATATCTAGGTACATGTTGAGTACTAGCCCATATTAGTGAACCGCATGTGACCTTATTTCAGCCTACCAGGATAAAGAATTAGGAAGAGGTGTGTTCTAACATGAGGTATATCAGTGTGTTAGCTCTGTGCAAAAGAAGGCACTTTTTGTTCAGGGTTAAAGAACTTGCATTTAACCTGTAAATTCCATATCATATGCAAATCAGGTACGGTGGGATTTTACCTTAGGCCAAAAAAAGTATTTTGTCTCTAGTCAGACTGATTTTCTGGAATACGGGTTATTCACAATATTGCGCCCCCAAGAGTTTGCAACGCATTAGCCAGTAACATTGTTCAACGTACGAAATCTGTTGCACATCGTGATTGGCCAACATGTTTCAATCTCTTGGAGATGCACTAAGGTGAATCGCCCATATTGATGTGGCGATGCTTTTTTTTCCTTCCAGGGTTTGATTGTACAGACAGGTGCACACACACATTGGCGAGTCATGGGACTAGACCAGTTTTATTATGATTATAAACTGACAACAAACAACTTTATATCCATAGTCTGCTATCATTGTTCAACATCGATTTCGTCAGGATCTATCAAAGTGCGGTAATAGAGGGCACTTTTGCAGCCCTCGCACAGAAAAAAAAGATTGACGTGCATACTTGAAATCGATGCAAGTGCTGACCAGAGACAGAAGACCTTTTGGGGGGGGGCCTTACAATGAGAACAAGGTGGACTGGTTCCCAGTCCCTTCAAACTAGGAAAGAGGGATAGAAACTAGCATGGAACTGAAAAATCTCTTCTCACAGACATGCAATTAATTATGCTCTAGGAAAATGGTCTGTAGGCTGCCCCTTCCTTACACTTGTTTGTTCACATTTATATCTTGCTAGGCATTTTACAGCATCTGTATTTTACATATTCTACCTTGTTCATAAATAACTGAGTTGTATGCTGTGGTGATTGTTACTAGTCAGAACATGTTGCTTTACTAAGAACTTTTATGTGTTTTCCAGGTAATATGTTGATTTTTCCATTTCAGTAATAATAGTTAATAATTATAACATTTTGATCTCATTTATTTTCCAAAATGCAATAGTATGGGTTGAAAAGCTTTCCAATTTAATTTAAGATGTACACATTTAAGGCATTTTCCTCATGCTGCCACTTCTTTGGTTGGTATCCATTTTCATTTTTTTTGAACTCCAAATTACAAATTGCATCATTCAATTTAATCGTACACAATTTGTCATTCAATTTTGTCACCTCAATTTAGTGAGGTATTTGCTTTTGATTCTGACTTTCAGGCAGTATGTAACCAATGTACATGTAGTACTTTGCGCATTCCAAGAATGTGAACATGGTTAAATCTCACAAAGAATCGTGTGATCTACAGTACAATTAGTTTCAAGTGTTCGTAGAATTATTTGATATGTTTGTTTTTCCAGTTTCGTTGAGTAATAATCATTGTATATATGTTATCTAGTGGTGTATTTAAATTCCAGTGTAAAAATGTTAAATATATTGCCATTTATGCATCATTCAACCACATGTTTCTGGCCCACGACTTGGGTTAAATTGAATGCTTCCTGATACAAGTGCAACATCACTGTTTTGAACACAACAGGGTTCATTCAATGAATAATAATGTTCAGATTTCAATTTTTTTCAAACTTTTCCTGATCATGTACTTGAAAACTAAATTGAACACTCAATTCAATCAACTGCGCATGATCTTAAGGTGGATTCAAATTTAGTAAAACAATGAATTACTGTAGACGCTAATTTGGGAAATAAGTTCCAATACATTGAATTTAAAAAAATGTATTTCAATTTTTTATTTGTCTGATATGCAGCAAATATTTTGTAATTTATGGATTATTTAATTTCTTACAAGAATGAGAAACACACAAAAATATGCAGTTTGCTGAGTTCAATATTTAAGCGTTCAGAAGTACTGTTTTAATATGTGTATGTTGCAGCAAATGAGGGAATTAACATTTAATGAAAATCACTATGCATAATTATGTTTGATTACTTTGAACACTTTGTTGTCTGTCTATGCATGAATCGTCCTTACAAATGGAAATACATGTACATGTATTTGGTAAGTTAGAAAAATCAGTAGATGCTATGATTTAGAAACATACCATCTTACATCATTTAAACAAGTGTTTTCAAACCATTATAAAGCGGAATTTTTTGTCAGGGCTTACTATATTCCAATCAAATGAATTATATCATTTTATCAGTACATCTTTGCAACCTGTTTGTATACTGTTATATGATATATCCTTTTGCTGCCTTTCTTGTTGATTTCACATTTATACAGACGCATGTTTATTTACTCACAGCAATTGCGTCAGAATATTCTCTCGTAGTGATAAGCTGTTGTGAATAGGACAAGATTGAGCGGCACTTTTGGGGCCTTGTGTAGTAACTCTACAGACGGATGCATGGGTAGATTACAGTTGTCACTTTGAACTAAGGAAGCCGTTAGCCTTTGACATGTTTATTGAACTATTGATACACTTTTGGTAGAACTCACTTCGCAAAAGTGCCTTGAAGTAACACTTGTCTTGCTTCTCAATATGTAGAAAAGGGCCCTTGGATAAGTTATTATTTAGGTCACTTATTACTTGTATTAAGTATATAATACCTGTACATCTTGTATGAGATGGCATACGTCTGACTTGCCATAGTCGTGCTGTTGTGGGGACTTGCATCTGTGTCTTACTTCAAATGGTTGAATATTTGTGTGCCATTTTACAGTATCATGAACTTCTTCATCTGGAGAATTCATTACTCAAGCCTGAGTGGCATCAGGTAGGAGAAGCCCTGTAAAACAGGCAGTGCTTAAAATGCCACAGATGCAGTAGGTATGCAACTTTGTGTTGTGTTTTTACTTGAATATAACCCACATGCCTAAAATTTGATGGGATTATCTTCGGATTATTAACAACTCTCAACTCGACTTCACCTTAGTTCTCTCACATAGCACGAACATTACCTTTTCAGATGGCCGTTATTTCTTTAAGGAATGAAATTTGCACATCTGAATGCCACTATCCATTTTTTGTAATCCTTTTTCATGTCTTTCTAATTAATTCGTTCTTCAGAGTACTTTGGTATAGAAATTTCAAGCATTTCAATCACGATTATAAACACATCAAAACTATTTCACTCTATTTTTATACTTGTATTCTCGTAGGTGTATTTATCGAAATTCCTGTTTAAAAATTCTATTAATATCTTCAATATTACCTATAAATAGCATTTCAGAATTCCTGTTAGTATTGTGCTTGGTATGTATACAGGGAATAATTTTACAATGAATAAAATATTTATCACTAAAATAACTTTTGCTTTTGTGGTTGTGTTGGTAAATGATTGGAGTGCAGCACAGAGCCATGTTGGAGAAAAATTCTTGTACAATCCGAGGCTCACACCCTGATTATGTTTGAACTGATCATTATATTTGTTGAATTGACGCCGCTGTATGGTTGGTTAAATTCTGTTGTTCTCGTTTCTGACCAACCCTCAATTTTGTTTGGGCGACCAAGGCAAAAAATTTTATGCAGCCGACTCGATGTGGAATTTCCTACCTGGAAAAAAAATGGAAAAAAAAATCATATTTTTGGGGGACAAGTAAGTACATGTAATTTTTTCACCCCCACCATAGTCAAAAATAATATGAGTACCGCAGAGAGAACTGCGGTTTGCCTTTCATGTATTTCGTGTTCATGTGATATTTTTAACCACAAAAGAACCGGGGAAGAATCCGTCCTTAACATTTTCCCGATTGCAGTGCGTTCTTTTAGGCGCCGAGCCTTGAGGAGTTTCTTCAGTAGGCCCTACAATGTCTTACCGTAATTTTGACGCCATTTTACGAAAATTGGACATACAGGTCTCATGAAATTTCCGAGACAGATCAGCCAAAAATCTTTTCCGACTGACGAGTCGACACGAGTGAGACCGTCAATTTCAAATGACTGATCGACAAACGTAGGTTAGGAAGAATTGTAATTTCAGTCTCGGGCATTTACTCAAAAGCTTTTGTAAATGCATGTCACGCTTCAAGAAAATCGAGCATGTGACGGCCGAGTTTTACGTGCGGAAGGTGACATCCCCTCCCCGTCGTAATCCGGCTGTGAGATGGTCTGAAAAAGGCCAGCTCTCTGGCTAAAGTTGTAATGTCACACAGGTGGGACGTGCCACCAGCAATGCCCATTGCTCCCAGTTTACCCTTCCCCCACACTCCATCTTGAACGACAACTATGAGCAATTGCGGGTTTATCAGCTTTCACCGGTCCCAGAACAAAATGTTCACCCTAAAAACTTTCACCGTAGTTACACTTCTGTGTCAGACTGACTGAATTGACTTGACTGATTGAATTGATTTATTTCGGAGATTTCAGGATAGGAGTGCATGGGAAACCAAACCATGAGAATTATGTTGTATAATTGGATTCTTTATGATAGTATAAATTACGGGTAATGATTGTATAAGTGAGACATATGTATGGAGCGTCAAAAGTGGACAACCTCATTTTCTCATTTTCTGTTAGTAGATATTCGAGATTTTGGATTTTGCGAAAAACATTTTCAAAAAACGCAATTTTCCGCTAGCAAAAATTTGGATTTTACTTTAACAAGTTACTTGGCGCTTCAAAGTCGACAACTAAAGACTACGGAGCCTCTAAAGGGATATAAAATTATGAGATTTTTTTTATTTCGTTCCCTCGAAATAATAGTTCGTTCCCTCGAAATATTATTTCGTTCCCTCGAAATCATTTCGTTCCCTCGAAATAATATTGCCCTCCCTCGAATTATTGCATTTCGTTCCCTCGGAATAATGATTTCGTTCACTCGAAATATCTGTAGCATTTTCTTTGTACTGCCGTGGCAAATCGAATCGATGTTCCAGGAAAAAGCGGCAATACGTCCAAGGTAAGTGATGAAACCTTATACATTTAGCATTCCTCACTGAACAGCGTTTTCAAAGCTCCTCGCTGAAACTTGTACAATGTATAAATTTTGCAGTGCCGCATTAAAGTGGTGTAGCCATAGAGGTGGTATTATCAGGTAGGTGGAC